CAATTTGCAAACGGCCCAGTAATGGAGAAAATCTAACTTTGCGGTTGCTAGCAATAGGAAATGTTCTTGATGGCACCTAATCGATCAATAAAAAAAAAAACTATCCCATCACTAAGAGTTAGGTGGCATATACATTTAATAAATTATTATCTATTATCTATTATCTATTATCTATTATTATTATTATTATTATTATTATTATTATTATTATGACAATATACACAGCAGACGAGATAACCATGCTGGATTTCGTATCCCAAATCACTAGTCGAACATATTATTATGTTTATGATGATGATGATGATGATGATGATGATTTATTTATTTATTTAATATAATTTGTATGCCGCCCTATCTCCGTAGGACTCAGGGCGGCTCACAACAAATAAAAACAAACCCAATAAAACATAAAATACATAAATATGCATACATAAAATACATAAATGTATAAATATATAATTTAAACATATATTAAAACCCATTAAAATAATCATTATCAATTGTCCAGGCTCTAAAAAAAGTCCTGCCTGATAATTTTGCATTTCTATATTATAAATTTAAGCTAGAACCAACCGACCCCTTCACAGCAATAGCACTTAAGACTTATATACCACTTCACAGTGCTTTTTTTTTTCCATAGAAAATGTTTTATTGTTCCTGACAGCATTATTTTATTGTATTTTATTTATTTATTTATTTTATTGAATTTGTATACCGCCCTACTCCCGAAAGACTCAGGGCGGTGAACAGCCATAGAATAAAACATATAAATACAAAATTTAAAATAAAATAAAACGAATTAAATAATTTGGCTGAACAAATTTAAAATCCCAATAATTTAAAACCAAATTTAAAATTTCCATTTAAAAAGGGGAGAAAAACAAATGCTGAGCACTTCCAATTAAAAAAAATGAACTGAAATGCTACGCTGGCTTGAGTTAAATTTTAAATTAATTTTAAATGGGATTGTTTTAATTTACGGCCAAAATATTTAATTATTTTAAACAGTTTTTAAATTTTGTATGTCTTGTTTTTACTTTGGCTGTTCACCGCCCTGAGTCCTATTTGGAGAAGGGCGGTATAGAAATTGAAACAAATAAACAAATAAACAAATAAATAAATAAATAAATACGCAGCAAGACCTATCCACTGTCCTTTAGCGGTCCAACACACAACGCTTCACAGCGCTTTAAGCCCTACGCGGGTTTTTCCAGAATAGAATTAGAATAGAATTCTTTATTGGCCAAGATTGATTAGACGCACAAGGAATTTGTCTTTGATTGATGTGCTCTCAGTGTCCATAAAAGAAAAGATACATTCATCAAGAATCATAAGATGCATAAAGATAGATATAGATAGATATAGATATAGATATAGATAGATATAGATGATATAGATATAGATAGATATAGATGATATAGATATAGATATATAGATATAGATATATAGATATATAGATATATATATAGATATATAGATATAGATATATAGATATAGACCTACATACAAACACCCGCGAAAACCTGAGAAAACAAATAGATATATAGATAGAGATATATAGATATATGTTTTTCTTCTAGCCAGGTTTTCCCTACGTAGCCAAGGTTTTTTTGTAGCTCCAGCTCAGTAGAATCACATCTACTCGGTTCTGGGCTTTTTTCCTTTCTAACAGCTAGCAAACTCTAACTGCTAGGTGGGAGACCTAAATAGATCCATTTCTAGCTCGTTTGCTTTCATCAGTAGGCCACACCCATATCTTATGTATCCTCCCTGTAAAGGTACAGTATCAATTTTCTTACTTCTTCGTAGGGTTTATGTGTGTTTTTCTTCTAGCCACTGATGAAAGCAAACGAGCTAGAAATGGATCTATTTAGGTCTCCCACCTAGCAGTGAGAGCTTGCTAGCTGTTAGAAAGGAAAAAAGCCCAGAACCGAGTAGATGTGATTCTACTGAGATGGAGCTACAAAAAAAAAAACCTTGGCTACGTAGGGAAAACCTGGCTAGAAGAAAAACACACATAAACCCTATGAAGAAGTAAGAAATATATATAATTATCTATCTATCTATCTATCTATCTATCTATCTATCTATCTATCCTGGCTAGAAGAAAAACACACATAAACCCTATGAAGAAGTAAGAAATATATATAATTATCTATCTATCTATCTATCTATCTATCTATCTATCTATCTATCTATCCTGGCTAGAAGAAAAACACACATAAACCCTATGAAGAAGTAAGAAATATATATAATTATCTATCTATCTATCTATCTATCTATCTATCTATCTATCTATCCTGGCTAGAAGAAAAACACACATAAACCCTATGAAGAAGTAAGAAATATATATAATTATCTATCTATCTATCTATCTATCTATCTATCTATCTATCTATCCTGGCTAGAAGAAAAACACACATAAACCCTATGAAGAAGTAAGAAATATATATAATTATCTATCTATCTATCTATCTATCTATCTATCTATCCATCTATCTATCTATCTATCCTGGCTAGAAGAAAAACACACATAAACCCTATGAAGAAGTAAGAAATATATATAATTATCTATCTATCTATCTATCTATCTATCTATCTATCTATCTATCCTGGCTAGAAGAAAAACACACATAAACCCTATGAAGAAGTAAGAAATATATATAATTATCTATCTATCTATCTATCTATCTATCTATCTATCTATCTATCTATCCTGGCTAGAAGAAAAACACACATAAACCCTATGAAGAAGTAAGAAATATATATAATTATCTATCTATCTATCTATCTATCTATCTATCTATCTATCTATCTATCCTGGCTAGAAGAAAAACACACATAAACCCTATGAAGAAGTAAGAAATATATATAATTATCTATCTATCTATCTATCTATCTATCTATCTATCTATCTATCCTGGCTAGAAGAAAAACACACATAAAACCTATGAAGAAGTAAGAAATATATATAATTATCTATCTATCTATCTATCTATCTATCTATCTATCTATCTATCCTGGCTAGAAGAAAAACACACATAAACCCTATGAAGAAGTAAGAAATATATATGATTATCTATCTATCTATCTATCTATCTATCTATCTATCTATCTATCCTGGCTAGAAGAAAAACACACATAAACCCTATGAAGAAGTAAGAAATATATATGATTATCTATCTATCTATCTATCTATCTATCTATCTATCTATCCTGGCTAGAAGAAAAACACACATAAACCCTATGAAGAAGTAAGAAATATATATAATTATCTATCTATCTATCTATCTATCTATCTATCTATCTATCTATCTATCCTGGCTAGAAGAAAAACACACATAAACCCTATGAAGAAGTAAGAAATATATATGATTATCTATCTATCTATCTATCTATCTATCTATCTATCTATCTATCTATCCTGGCTAGAAGAAAAACACACGTAAACCCTATGAAGAAGTAAGAAATATATATAATTATCTATCTATCTATCTATCTATCTATCTATCTATCTATCTATCCTGGCTAGAAGAAAAACACACATAAACCCTATGAAGAAGTAAGAAATATATATGATTATCTATCTATCTATCTATCTATCTATCTATCTATCTATCTATCCTGGCTAGAAGAAAAACACACATAAACCCTATGAAGAAGTAAGAAATATATATAATTATCTATCTATCTATCTATCTATCTATCTATCTATCTATCTATCTATCCTGGCTAGAAGAAAAACACACATAAACCCTATGAAGAAGTAAGAAATATATATGATTATCTATCTATCTATCTATCTATCTATCTATCTATCTATCTATCTATCCTGGCTAGAAGAAAAACACACATAAACCCTATGAAGAAGTAAGAAATATATATGATTATCTATCTATCTATCTATCTATCTATCTATCTATCTATCCTGGCTAGAAGAAAAACACACATAAACCCTATGAAGAAGTAAGAAATATATATGATTATCTATCTATCTATCTATCTATCTATCTATCTATCTATCTATCTATCTATCCTGGCTGGAAGAAAAACACACATAAACCCTATGAAGAAGTAAGAAATATATATAATTATCTATCTATCTATCATCTATCTATCTATCTATCTATCTATCTATCTATCTATCTATCTATCCTGGCTAGAAGAAAAACACACATAAACCCTATGAAGAAGTAAGAAATATATATAATTATCTATCTATCTATCTATCTATCTATCTATCTATCTATCTATCCTGGCTAGAAGAAAAACACACATAAACCCTATGAAGAAGTAAGAAATATATATAATTATCTATCTATCTATCTATCTATCTATCTATCTATCTATCTATCTATCTATCCTGGCTAGAAGAAAAACACACATAAACCCTATGAAGAAGTAAGAAATATATATAATTATCTATCTATCTATCTATCTATCTATCTATCTATCTATCTATCTATCCTGGCTAGAAGAAAAACACACATAAACCCTATGAAGAAGTAAAAAATATATATAATTATCTATCTATCTATGTATCCTGGCTAGAAGAAAAACATACATACATATACACACACACACACACACATATATATACACATACAAATCTGGGTCCTCATTAGCTGCCTAAAAAGAGAAGAGAGGATTATAATAATTAAATATTATTTATAATATATACCAATTATAAATTATTATATGTAATTAAATCCAGACTAAATTAGGATTAAATTAGCCGATGAGTTTGTCTATCAGAAAGGTCGGAGGTTCGAATCCCTCGTATAGGTCCCCCTGGGTTGGACTAGATGACCTCCCAAGCTCCCTTCCATTCTGTTACTGTTACATCCCAGCCTGGCCGGTGGAGCAAAACCGCCCAAGCGCTTCCTGGTGAATCCAAAGAAGGCGGAGTTCCCGAATGGGGGCGTGGCTTGGCGAGGCGGGGCGTGGCTGGGCGGAGAAGCGGGGTGGGGGGGCGGAGCTGGCTCGCTCGCTGTCCCGGCGGTCGCCATGGAGACGGGCCCCGCGGCCTGACCCGCAACGAGGAGCCTTCGGTCCGCAGGGCCCAGCCTGAGGTAGCGGGGCCCCTCCCGGCATGAGGCGGGTGCATGGCCGCCCCGAACCACCGCTGAGCTGGAGGGGGGAAGGTGAGACGAAGCCCGGCCGCCCCCTCGCCTGCCTTGGTGAGGGTGGGGGGGGTGGGGGGGTCGAGGAAGCGCTTGGAGGCGGGGGGGGGGAGACCCTTCTTTCCTCTGGTTTTCTCCCCCCCCCCAAAAAAAAGCTCTCCCCGCCCATCGTCCGCAGCGCCCTGGCTGGCTGCGGACGATGGGCCGTCTGAAGGAGAGCCGGGCGGTTCCCGGTGGTGGGAAGGAGCAAAGGCCGGGATGGAGGAGGGAGATCCCGGCCAAGGTGGGGGGGTTTAATGGGGTGGGGGGGTCCAAGGGGGCCTTAAAGCCTTCAAGGGTATATAAATCCCCCTTTTTAACGACCGAAATGGCCTCCCTCTTAACAGCCGCCCCTTCCTCACACTTGGCAGCTTTTAAGATGGGTGGGCTTTCAACCAGCCCCCCCCACTGAAATCTATGAAGCGCCTGATGGGAGTTGTAGTCCTCTACAGGTCGCCCTCCACTTAACGGCAGCGTTTCTCAACCTTGGTAGCTTGAAGATGGGTGGACTTCAACTCCCAGAATCCCCCAGCCAGCAGCGCTGGCTGGGGGGATTCTGGGAGTTGAAGTCCACCCATCTTCAAGCTTCCAAGGTTGAGAAACATTGATTTAACAGCCACAATCGGAGCCTTAGCACACACGACAATAACAGAGTGGGAAGGGACCTTGGAGGTCATCTAGTCCAACCCCCTGCTCACGCAGGAGGCCCAGAGTAGGGATTCGAACCGCCCGGCCTTTCTGATTGACAAGCTCAGTTTTCTTAGCCATCCCCACGTTTCCCTTTTGCTAAGCAAGGAATTTTGGGTGCGGTTTTTTTTTGCCCCATGGCGCAAAACTTTCTTGCCGCCGCCGTTAAGTGAACCGCTGCAGATGTTAAGCGAATCGCGCAGTCGTTAAATGAATCTGACTCCACCCACACCCTCCCATTGACTTTGCTTGTTGGAAACTGGCTAGGAAGGTTAGAAGCGGTGATGTCGGGACACTGCAACCGTCATAAATAGGAGCCAAATTTTTGCCAAGCATCTGAATTTGGATCGTGTGGCTGCCGGGGATATTGCAACGGTTGGTAAGTGTGAAAAATGGTCGCCAGTCGCTTTTTTTACAGCGGCTTGGTAACTTCAAGCGGTCACTAAATGAATGGTTGTAAGTCGAGGATGACCTGCAAATGGGAAGGAGTCCATAATGGGGTCTTCCTGGCTGAAAAAAAAAATCTACTGTTTTTGATGGGACTTCCTTACTGGTCTCCGTGTGGCTTTGTGGGAACCTTTCACTTAATCCAATATTTGGCTGGTGGATTCATAAGGAGTCCTTGCTTAACAACCACTTGTTCAGGGACTTCGCTGAATGAGTGGGACTTACGACCAAGCCTATAATATATACTCAAATGCATTTGCATTTCCCCTCTGAGTAAGGAAAAACTCACCACATTTTATGACACATAGGCCAGCTCAAGGGAGGAGCTTCCACTTTTTCTTGGCCTGGCACAGAAATTATTGTTCTGGAACGTACTTAACTGGAAATGCGGTAAAGTAGATCAGTTCATGGATATTATTACAGCCCCGCCCCCCCCATTGTATGGACGATTCTTTGTTGGAGAGGAAGGTGTTGCTTAGCCACAGGATCTCTTTTTCAAATGAACAACACAGGAAGCTAACCAAAACCGGTATATTTGCATGAAACTGCCATGGATCATGGAGAACTGAAACATGCTTGCGTACATGTCCTTCAAAATTCTGCCTTCTGTATGGTTCTAAAGGAAACTTAATGCTGGTTTCCTCTAGAGGAGCCTACTGTGTGCCAGTCTGGCCACTGAAGTTTTTAACACATTAACAGAGTTGGAAGGTACCTTGTAGGTCATCTAGTCCAACCCCCCGCCCAGTTATTGGACAACATGCTCTTTTCAGGTTTTGTAGCCCAGTTTGTAGAATATTACAGTCCCCGCCATTTAGGAATAGGTAGGATTATAATCCTGGGCTCCAAGATCACCACAGATGGGAGCTGCACCGCAGATGGGAGCTCCTGGGGTGGAAACTATGGCAAATCTAGAGAGCATACTAAAAAGCAGAGACATTACCCTGCCAACAAAAGTGTGTATAGTCAAGGCTATGGTTTTCCCAGTTGCAATGTATGGCTGTGAAAGTTGGACCATAAGGAAGGCTGAGCACCAAAGAATTGAGGCCTTTGAACTCTGGTGCTGGAGAAGACTCCTGAGAGTCCCTTGGACTGCAAAGCGATCAACCTGGTCAGTCCTAGAGGAGATCAACCCCGACTGCTCTTTAGAAGGCCAGATCCTGAAGATGAAACTCAAATACTTTGCCCACCTAATGAGAAGGAAGGAGAAGAGCCTGATGCTGGGAAAGATTGAGGGCAAAAGAAGAAGGGGACGGCAGAGAACGAGGTGGCTGGATGGAGTCACTGAAGCAGTCGGTGTGAGCTTAAATGGACTCCAGAGGATGGTAGAGGACAGGAAGGCCTGGAGGAGAGTTGTCCATGGGGTCGCGATGGGTCGGACACAACTAACAGCAACAACAACAAGGATTATTATAATGATAGCAGTTTGCAGGCAACGAGTCAGTCACACAAACTGTTCCTCAGGTAGGTAAAGGTTATGTAGGACAAAGAGCCCTGTGATTGGTGTGAGACTGTTTTCTATTCTGTTGAATTGTTTTGAAAGCAAATAACTTTTTTATGGTCTGAAGTGGAATTTAAGCTTTAAGCCAAGCAAATAGAGACACATATTTTTCATATTCTCAAAACCGCTTCCATCGTTCTGATTTCGCTTATCTTTATTTTTTTTTTGCTTGCAGAGAAAGAGACTGTGGACCTTATGAGAACACTTTAAGAACTGCATGATTGGATTAAGGGAGGCCTGAACTGTAAGATTGAGGCAATTATCTTCAGGCTGGGGTAAGGGGAGCCCGTATGATTTGTGGCACTTTTCCAGTCTTACAAGTTTCAGTTAATCTAGATTTAAATTATGATGTGATGTGTGAGGTTACCCTGTGCTTTCTCTTCGTTTGCGGTGCATTTTCATACAGTATAGTAGCATATTGAATCTCCTGTTTTTCATTCATGAAAACCTACTGGATGTATTCAGATGAATTACCATTTGTGTCTGACGCAGTTTGTCCCGCAAAGAGCCTAATGCTGCTTCTCTTTATGTTTATTTATTAAAGTTTGAACATTAAAAATGAGGTTCATTTCAAAATGACTTTTGCCCCATGGGATAGGCTTTTGTATTCTAATGAAACAATTTCCCTACCTCCTTTAGTACACACACACATAATATATAAAGTTGAGCTCCTGGGGAATGTGAGAAACGCCATTTGATGTATGTTCAGAGCAAGAACTTCTGCACGCTTAATTTTACTTCCAAAGGGTAACCTAGCAGCTGGCAGTTCTTGGCAATTTAGTTCTGGCCTAGTTCAGCCTCCAAGGACAGGCTGTGACATTTTTACTTTGGCTAACTGAGTTGCCTTTTCTAAAAAGCAAAACTATTTGGTCTTTAGCGTTGCCTTGTCCTCCCTCTGATCTTTCGAGAAGCTTTCTGCACACACTGCTCCACCTGCAGAAAGGTTTGTATTTTAAATATGCTTTCTGCAGCTTTTTCAGTGAAAATATGGTTTTTTCCCCCCCTTTCTTCCTTTTCTATTTTTTTTTTTCTGTCCCACTTATCTCCTGCAGATGAACATCTGCAGTAAGCCACCTAACAAGACAGCCCCAGAGAAGACTTCTGAAACAACTTTTGAAGTTCAGTCCCAGCACGCCAGGAGAAATGGCTGGAGTTGGCCCCCACACCCCTTCCAATTCGTTGCCTGGTTACTTTTCTTCTTCTTTGCGCTGGTTGGTTTTGGCATCCTTGTGCCTCTCCTGCCCATTCGCTGGGTACCTGCTGGGTATATTGTATCCTTTATGTCCTACTGAGGGCAGGACAAGAAGCAACGGGTGGAAACTAATCAAGGAGGGAAGCAACCTAGAACTAAAGAGAGATTTCCTGACAGTTAGAACAATTAATCAGTGGAACAACTGGCCTCCAGAAGTTGTGAATGCTCCAACACTGGAAGTTTTTAAGAAGATGTTGGATAATCATTTGTCTGAAGTGGTATTATAGGGTTTTCTGCCTGAGCAGGGGGTTGGACTAGAAGACCTCCAAGGTCCCTTCCAACTCTGTTATTCTGTATTCTAAATATAGTTATTCCGAATCCATGATGGCACAAATGGTGAAAAACTTTTCTTAAAAGTTTCCTAAAACTTTCATTTAGGAATGGTGAAAAACTTTCATTCCTAAAAATCGCCAGTGCTTCTGCCACCTCCTGTCTGCTTCCCCCCATTTTCTGCAGCTGTTGTTTTTAAGCGGTACTTTCCCTTTTCACAAGGAATACCGATCGCCCTTGACTTACAACAGTTTGTTTAATGATCGTTCAGAGTTACAACGGCACCTAAAAAAGTGACTTAGGACCGTTTTTCCCATGACCGTTGCAGCAACTCCGTGGTCACGTATTCAAAATTTGGCTGTTTGGCAACTGACTCATATTTATGACGGTTGCAGTGTCCTGGGGTCATGTGATCAAATTTTGCAACCTTCTAACTAGCAAAGTCAAGGGGGAAGCCAGATTCACTTAATAGCCGTGTTGCTAACTTAACAGCTGCAGTGGTTTGTTTAACAAGCGTGGAAGGAAAGGTCGTAGAAGGGGGCAAAACTCATTTTTTTAAAAAAAATTGATTTATTTTTGTTCAATTCTTCCTTGATCCCATGAAGTTATGCACCGGACATCACTTTGAAGGTACTTTGCTACAAACTGCACAGAGGAACTACTATCCCATTATGGCAGTTTCTCCTTTGTCTCCTTTGATCATCTTGGTCAAAAGCACTGTGTTTTGTTTTTTTTTTAAATTTGATTTATATGCCGCCCTTCTCCAGAGACTTAAGGCGGCTTACAATGTGCTCAGCAATAGCCTTCATCCTTTTGTATATTTATACAAAGTCAGCTTATTGCCCCCACAAACTGGGTCCTCAATTTATCTACCTTAGAAAGGATGGAAGGCTGAGTCAACCTTGAGCCTGGCGAGATTCGAACTTACTAATTGCAGACAGCTGGAGTTAAATTACAATGCATTAGTCTGCTGAGCTATCCAGGCTCCTATTTAACAACTGTTTCCTTTAGCAACAGAAATGTTGGGCCCAACTGCAGTCGTAAGTCGAGGACTGCCCAGATACACAATACTGCTTTTGTTAACAATTCCTGTTGCTATCAGAATACCTTTAATGAGTTTTTGCCCATCCTGTGGCTTTTCTGGGCTTCTGTGAAGAAGCAGTGATTTGCATCTTTCAAGCCAGCTGGCACCAGTTTTTCTTTTTTTTAAAATGAAAGGATTTTTTTAACCTTGGTGGCATTTCCTCCCCGTGGAACTTTAAAATGTGAACGTTGATAAATCTGAGAGACCAGCCTTAACTGTGTCCACTTCAGTGTCCCGGCGTCTTCTTTCTCTGCCATCTAGTAGTTCACCTTACCGCAGTTTCCATTGATCCGGCCGATGACAGTGTGCGGAAGAAGAATTACCAGGGGCCACTGTCCGCATTCAATCGCACCCAGCACGCTCATGTCATTGAAAACCGTCACTGTCACATCTGTGATGTTGATGTGTGAGTATTCGTTTTGCCTTCCTTTTTATATGAGTTGTGAGTTAACCGCACCAATTCCTTTCTCGGGCAACAATCAGCGCTAGAAATCTCAAGAGAAAACTTCCAAGTATTTTACAGCTTATCGGTATTGTGCCTGGGTTTACTGCCACTGGGCTGAATTCACGTGTCATGCTGAACATAATGAGGTTTGTTTGGTTTTGGTTAAGCGTGTTATGTAAACACAGACAATGTGTTTTGTAAACTGTGACTTATGGCTTCGTCTGTTGTAGGAACCAGTCAATTGTGTTTATTCAATAAGTCATGATTAAACAAACAGTTTAGCATAATAGATGACTCAATCATGACCTTGTGAATTAAATAACCACTTGGGGTCTTACACAGTGCATGCAGAAGTGCCTCCCCGCCCCCCATCTCTGCATCTTACCCTCATGGATAATATAGCTATGTCCATGACTTTTTAAATTAACACTTTGTTTCAGCCCTTTCTTACTTGATGACAGTAAATTGTGCTGGTCACCAGCGGTCACTGGTAGTGCAGTATAGTTGACAAACATTCCTGCATTGATGTTTTGATTAGAAGCTCAAAGAAGTTAGAACAGTCTTACTTAGAAGTGCAGACTTGGTGGATGAAAGCCAGCAGTAAATAAAAGAAAGAACATAGTTCTCTGAACTCCCATGTATTTTAGTGGAATTATTCTACATATAAAAACAGACTTAATTGGAAACAACGTGCTTAGTTCTTTCCTCTTTTATTTATTTTTTGGTACATGTCTAATTTAGCACCCCAAATTAATCTGGGAAAACAACTGCAGAGTATAATTAGCTCCGTTTTTTTTCTCTCTCCCTGTTTTATTATTAGGAGCTCCAGATCAAAACATTGTGGGTCCTGTAATAAATGCGTATGTGGCTTTGATCATCACTGCATGTGGCTCAACAACTGTGTGGGAGAGAGAAATTATTGGTATGGTCTTGTCTATCACACATTAGCCCACTAAGCAAAGCCTGTGAACATCCATTGAACAAATCTAGCACCTTTTAAAAATCTTTTTTCCACCTTCACAGTCTAAATACCTATTTTCCATTTCCAAATTGCATGTCGTTATAGGGAATATACTTAGGGATCATAGTTAGAAATATATAAAGCATACACCTACTATTTCGAAGAGCCGTCTAGAATCTTAGAGCATTGGGTGTGGGACTTTTAGTTTAGATGCCTGTTTTGATTCTTGGCTGAGATACATGGATGTCCTGCTGGTTATTTGGCAAGTAAAAACTAAGTGTGGTATTCTTCGTGTCGTATTGAGGTAAACTGCGTTGGATGTGATAAAAATGATCAGTTACGTGCAGATTTCTCAAATTAGAGTTCCACTCTAGAATATGCTATACCAGAGATGGCTAATCTTTTTCTCGTCGTGTGCTGAAAGCGTGTGCGTGCCGGCACCCATAATGCAAAGCGCGCGCCCCTGTGCATGTGTGCACGCCCTCCGCGCGTATGTGCATGCGACCCCCTCCCACTCCCCACGTCCCCCGTGCATGCATGCGTGACCCCCCTGCCCTTATTTTTGGCCTAGCAGGCCTCCCTGCAGCCTCCTGGACCCAAAAACTGGTCGTGGGGGGGCATGCCACACATACCCATGCTCCGCCCCCGCCCCCCACACATGCGCGCACATCTGCATGCACCCCGCTGCCCCGTGCATCCTGAAAATCATCTGGCAGGCAGGAGGTACATGTGCATGCATGGTGGAGCTGAGCTGGGAGACGGCTTGCGTGCCCACAGAGAGGGCTCTGTGCCAGCTGTGGCATGCGCGTGCCATAGGTTTGCCATCACGGAGTTGTACTGTAAATGTCTCTGGCTTTTATGGGGGCCCTTACTCTCTTCTGCTGAGCTAGACAAGCAAAGAGATATAGGAGAATCAGGCAGGAGTGTAGCCCTCACTATACATCCGCCAGGGTTAGGAATGGCACAGTTCCTTTGCCAGAGATTCTCATTGCTAAATGTGACAGCCATGGCTGGAAATCGATTTCCCTTGTGTTTCATTGTGAAGATGCTAAAGGTTCCTCTTGTTTTCTTGACAGGCTGTTTCTGAACAGTGTAATATCTGCCATCCTGGGCCTTCTCCTAATCCTACTTGTTGCTTTCTATGTCTTTGTTCAATTCTTCCTTGATCCCATGAAGTTACGCACCGGACATCACTTTGAAGGTACTTTGCTACAAACTGCACAGAGGAACTACTATCCCATTATGGCAATTTCTCCTTTGTCTCCTTTGATCATCTCGGTCAAAAGCACTGTGTTGATAAGTATCCAAGTTATCAATCACTGTTATACACTTGTTTCCTAAGGAAAGATGTCCAAAGTTTGGGCAATCTAGATCAGGGGTCTCCAACCTTGGCAACTTTAAGCCTGGAGGACTCAGCAAAGCTGGCTGAGGAATTCTGGGAGTTGAAGTCCTCCAGGCTTAAAGTTGCCAAGGTTGGAGACCCCTGATCTACATAATTGCCCCATGGCTTGAGAGCCCATTAAAGTGATTTGTACAAATACAGAGTGATGAAGGTTCAACTCCTCCTCTTTTTTTTTGTCTGTTTGGTTTTCTAGGCTTGAAGAACCAAACAGATGTCTGGTTTGTGTTCCTTCCTGTTGCTCCAGTTAAGACAAAAGCACCTGCAATCTTGTCTTTGGCTGGTCTGCTGATAATTCTGGGGTTACTGACTCTGTTCCTGTTGGGCCACCTATTAGTCTTCCATATTTATCTGAGTAGGTACCACTTTTTTTCTGGTTTTCCTTCTCACTTCAATTAAACTGTGCATCTCCCCCTACATACATACATCTCTACACTTTCACACTCTTTGCGTGAACGTAGCTAGAAGCCTTTTGCCTTGCGTGAAATTTCTGAATAAGATTACATAAGGTGAAACCCAACCTACCTAAAGGGTAATAGACTAGAGACAATAGTTTGGCTAGGCTATTATATCCCACTGGATTGTTTCAGTTACATATCTGCAAACATTACTTGTCTGAACTGGAGGATTTGCATGCAGTGGTTACTTAAACACTCCTAATTTAACGGCGACTGTAGCATTACCTTGTTCATTAACGATCAGTAGTTCACTGATTTAAATAAAGACTTTTTATTCCTCTCCAAAGCATCCTTTTGAGCTCTTAACAGAATTGCAATTTCTGTAAGTTCAAATAGTGGTGGTATTCAATTTTTTTTTCCTACCTGGTTCTGTGGGCGTGGCTTGGTGTGTGTGTGGAGGATCATGTGACTGAGGGCATGGCTGTGAGTGATGTCAAGTTGGCCCCACCCACTTAGTCACATGACCACCCACCACCACCAAGCCACGCCCACAGAATCAGTAGGGAAAAAAAATGAATACCACATTGATTCAAAAGGACCAGCAGTGGGTTCTACTTACCTTTACTACCGGTTCGCAATGGGGCATGCGCAGAAGCGTTTTGATGACATCAGGGTCAGTGGGCGGAGCCTCCCACCGGTTTTACTACCCGTTCTATAGAACCGGTGCGAACAGGGGGCAACCCACCACTGGAAGGGACCTTGGAAGTTTTCTAGTTCAATCCCCTGTTCAAGCAGGAAACCCTGGACCATTTCAGACAAATGGCTGTCCCTTCTTAAAAACCTCTAGTATTGGAGCACCTCCAACCTCTGCAGAAAAGCCATTCTACTGATTAACCGTTCTAAGTGTCAGGACATTTCTCCTTAGTTCTAGGTTGCTTCTCTCCTTGATTAGTTTCTGTCCCATCAGAGCATCTTAATTCACGTCTTGTTCTCCCGGACTTTGAAGTGAATTAATCTTCTGCCCTTCTCTTTAGTGTGGCACCGAATGACCACTTATGAATATATTGTCCAGCAGCGTCCCCCACAAGAGGTGAAGGATCCTGAGAAGCAGCCAGAATTCTACCCTCCCCCAACAAGGCCCATTCAGGCAAGGCTGCAGCTTTTGTTTAAATAAAAATTATTTTTTGTTTATTATTAAATATTATTAAATATTATTTTATTATTATTATTATTTTACATATCCAGCATGCAATCTGTGCAGGGGTGGACTTCTAGGGGTTCGCAGGGGTTTGGGAGGACCTCTAGCTAAGATTCTGTGCAGTTCGGAGAACCCCCAAATCCCACTCCTGGCTGGCCCTGTCCCGCCCACCCCGCTCCTCCCCGCTCAGGAGTTCCCACATGGCCCGTTTTGGGTGCAGGATGCACGCAGAGGCTCGGGGAGGGCGAAAAACTAGCCTACCATTTTCGCTCTCCCAATGGCTCAAGGAAAGCCTCCGGAGCCCAGGGAGGGCATAAATGCCCCCATCCGCCATGGTGCAGGAGGCTGACTAGGCCAGGCCCACCATAGCCAGGCCCACCCAGCAACCGGACAGAGAACTCCTTGCTAAAATTTTAGAAGCCCACCCTTGAATCTGTTCATAATATTTCCCTCTAATATTGCTTTAATTTTGTTATCTGTAAAGTCTGGGGCTTATGTATTTTCTCATGGTAGGAGACAGAATGAGGTTTATAGTCTTCATGCTGTTATTATAAGAGCTAGTACAAGAGAATAATCAGTATTGTTTGTATTATACTATTATACAATCATAGTATCCATAGAGATCACTCCTTTGAATTTTGGTGAACTGTCCTGATTAAATCTCAATGCAGCACAGTCTCCTTCTTGGAATTCAAATTGGTTTTGCGGCCTAGAATGTAATCCACTTATTTGGACATGCCGAGATCTTCAGCACCCAGTGAGGGTACATAGCAGTGCTGGCTCATTCTCTTTGTTAGGTGAACAGTTGGATAAACTGTTGCCAAACTGAACTGAATGCCAAATACTCGATACCTAAGCAAAGCTACTATCCTTAGCTAAAACTGAGTGGCTAAACCGAGTGATTTGTGATGGGAGAACGTATAAATTGAAACTCTTGATATTGTTGCTCCTTCTTCAAACATTCCATATTTATCAAGTGAAATAGAAACTGTAAACAGTGCAGTATTTTGTTTCCAGAAGCACAGAGATAGCACGCATGGACTTTGCTACACCCTGGAAACCTACTAAAGGCTGAGATTTAGTGACTGGCTCAGGGTCTCCTCGTGATCAGCATCACCAACTGTGTATTTAAGCCATGTTTCCCACAGCCCAAGGCCAAGACAACAAGCACAAATTATGGGGTGCGTCTCTTTGGGGTCAGGAGCAACTTGGAGGAGAGAGAGGTCATATTTTTTTTCAACCGTCTGATCAAGCCTGCACAGGCAGTGCTCCTCATTTTGTCTGCGCAAAAGCTGCAGCAGGCCCTTAACTAAAATAGCTTGTTTGTTTTAGGATATGCAATTTTATGCAGGGAGTCTTGGATATACCAATCCTGAGATGCAGGTGGAGAACTCATCAGGATTACCACCTGGGAGAGAGTAAGTAGGATGAAGGTTGGTTTCCCTGAATTTGTTAAAGCGGGCGAGGTGTCTTGGATTGGCAGTAAGTGTATATTAAATGTAATTTTCTTCGCTTCTTAGAAATCAGAACAGCTTTCTTAACAGTAAATACAAATGAGAATTTATATCTCTGTTTGGCTTTTGTTGATAAGAAGAGGAAATAAAAGCAAATCAGCAGCAACAGTAGGAGTAGAATTCAGCAGAAAATATTGCGATTAAAACAGCATTTAATGCCACAGCAAAGCAACATTGAGTGGCCTAGATTTTGCAAGAAAAAGGTTTTTAATATGGCTCATTATAGATTTTTTTTTAATAATAATAAAATTGATAATGTTTAGGGCTAAATCAGGGGTGGCCAGTCCATGGTCTCTCTGTGATCCTCCGCCACGTTTTATCTGGACCACATACTTATTCCATTGGCCAATGGATCCTCCTCCTCCATTAGCCAGTTTTGAAAAAGCAATATAGCTGGGAAGGAAAACAATCGGGAAACCAGTATTTTTTTAATGAAGATTATTCCCGTTTGCCAATGGGAAGTCAGTTATTTGTACCAAAGTGTTAACCCTACCCAGCTGGGCAACCTTCAGTAAGGCAAAACCTATGCAGACTTCACATCTTGGACTGTGATCAAGATAAATACAGAATTAGAATTTTATTAGAATTTTTTTGTTGGCCAAGTGTGATAGGCACCCAAGGAATTTGTCTCCGCTGCATAAGCTCTCAGTGTACATACAACGATAGTGATAGATCATTATCATCGTCATTGTAAAAATACATTCATCATGAAACATTAGATACAACACTTCGTGACAGTCGTGGATACTAAATAAGCAATCAACATAAATCATACTAGGATACTTATGAAACAATTTAAATCGTAAGATACAAGCAACAAGCTATAGTCATGAGAAGATAAGCTGATAGGTAATAGGGAAGATGAGAATAATGATGGCAATACTGCCTTTTTAGATAGTTTGACAGTGTTGTGGGAATTAGTTGTTTAATAGAGTGTGGCATGGGGGGTGGGGGGGGGGAGACAGGGAATTGTGGAAACCGTGATAGGATTTTTCCCACTTCTGGTTTTTAAACAATCCCTGTGAGTGTTTTGAAACCCTTTTTCCTAGAAGTCTCTTCATTGGGCTAAGTTGCCATTTATGAACTGAGCTATCAGCTGATATTGCCCCCCCCTCTCTTGATTCCTACCTCTGTCTGCTCTTCATTCTTTTCCCACCCCCTTTACAATATCTCCCATCAGGTTACTGGGAGGAAGCAACTCATTGCTGTTAGGTGGTCAGATAAACTAATAATATACATCCGTCTTTATGGTTCACACATAGAAGCTTTTCAGCTTGACAGGTATGTGAAGAAGAGCCAATGCCCCATCTTCTGTTTCAGCCTGCCCAAATTTTGTATCCGCAATGATGGCATAGACAACAAGACCGTACCATCTTCTGAACTTCCAGATTTGCAGTCTGGAGACCAGCGACAGGTAAGAGAGGTGTGACTGAAGCTTAGCCTGAGGGAGTTACATTACACAGTGATGTGATTGATTGTGTCATCCTAGGACTCTTTCTGTTTCATCAGCAATTAACAATTTTTGATGGCTTATGCATCTGGCATTTCCTATTCCTATTCCTGTTCCATGCATGTTTATTTATTTATTTATTTGTTGAGGAGTTGTTACATGCGTTTTGGCTGGCAAAAATACAGAACTGTTTCTTTGTTGCCATTGTAAAGAATAAAGTTTTGGTGTTTTTAAAAAAATGTTACTATCTAAATGTTACTACCATTTGTTCCTCTTTAGTCAGAACTATCTAGACATTTTTTAAAAAGCCTTTATTTCAGAAATAGGAGGAAAGATTAACTGCATTTTAAAATCACTTTCACAACACTAATTGCAGCTAACGGCTCCTTGGCCATTTTAAGACTTGAGGACTTTAACTCCCAGAATTCTCCACTTCACTCTTGAATTCTGGGAGTTAAGGTCCACACATCTTAAAATTGCCAAGATTAAAAAAAAAAAAAACATTGCCGATATTTATAGATTTTATTTCATCCTCCCTTCCCCATCCCAACCTCAATAATCTAAGATGGAAAAAAGTGACTACTCTTAAGTGAAGTTCTAGAACTGAGAAAACACTTGATTTGCTAACCTGTCACATTTTGCTGAGCCCAAGGGTGCTTTTTCAAGAGGCAATTGAGCTTTCTTTGTTTTTCCTTGAAGACGTTTCCCTTCTCATCCAAGAAGCTTCTTCAGATAAGAATAGAATAGAATAGAATAGAATAGAATAGAATAGAATAGAATAGAATAGAATTCTTTATTGGCCAAGTGTGATTGGACACATAAGGAATTTGTCTTTCGTACATATGCTCTCAGTATACATAAAAGAAAGGATACATTTGTCAAGAATCATAAGGTACAACATTTAATTATAGTCATAGGGTACAGATAATCAAATCATATTAGGAAACAATATAAATCGTAAGGATACCAGCAACAAGGTTACAGTCATACAGTCATAAGTGGGAAGAGATGGGTGATAGGAACGATGAGAAGATTAATAGCAGTGCAGACTTAGTAACTAGTTTGACAGTGTTCTTTCTTGGATGAGAAATAAAACATCTTTAAAGGAAAAACAAAGGAAGTCCAGTTGCCTCTTGAAAAAGCACCTTTGGGACAGCCAGGACCTGGGTGACTGAGAATCTCCATTAGACATTTTATTTATTTATTTATTTATTTATTTATTTATTTATTTATTTATTTATTTGTCATATTTCTATGCCGCCCATTCTCCGAGGACTCTGGGCAGCTTACACCAAAGACAGTATACTAAATAGCATCTTGCCCCCAACAACCTGGGTCCTCATTTTACCCACCTCGGAAGGATGGAAGGCTGAGTCAACCTTGACCCGGTGAGATTTGATCCACTGAACTAGCAGTCAGCTGAAGTAACTGCAGTACTGCACTCTAACCACTGCGCCACCTCGGCTCTTAACTTTTTTGCTGAACCCCATCATAGTTTAAGGGGTAAAGTCGTATGTGGATGAAAATTGTCATTGAATTCTTTCTGCAAAGCTCTCTCTGAGCGGCTAGATGGTATTTTAAGCTGTCTGCTTCATACTAGGTTATCCTTATAACCTGTAAAGAAGAGTAGATGAGATAATGTAACTAAATTTCATAGCTGGGTAGAAATTTGGCCCTGGTTTACCAATAACCATAATCAGCGTAGTCGTTTTGATTCTAAATGGATGCCACTTTGCTTTATTGTATAGCTTCAGAAGAAAAAGAAGAAGAAGAAGCGAAAGAAGTTGCAGAAGGTTTCCTCTTCTGGGTTGGAAGAAAACTCCAAGGTGATTCTTGCCCCGTGGACCTCTTTCCCAGTTCTACAGTCAGGTAAGATCAGCAGGCCAGAGATTCCATCTTAAAAGTCTCCTTTTGCCTAACGAGAATCCTGGAGATTTAAATATAAAGCTGCCAAACAGCCTTTGTATTTTTTTACAACCCAACTATTTCTAATAGCTTTGCCTGGGTAGCAGAGCAACGGTACAAAACTCATCAACTTTTCCCTGCTTTCTTGCTGCCACTCGCATGATCTCCAACAAGCCCCATTGCTGTAGAACAGGGGTGTCAAACTCGATTTTATTGAGGGCCACATCATGTGTTTGACTTTGGGGGGCTGGGGTGACCGTGGCCAGCTTGACGTCACTCGTGTCAGGGACATCTGTGGTGGCCCGTGCATCCTGCCAGCGAAAACAGGTTCCTGAAATTTGTTTTCGACCACGACGGCCTCCTGCCACCCTCTGCCAGTAAAAACGGAGCTCCGAGCTCTCTTTTCACTGGCAGAAGGCAGCAGGAGGTGATTGCGGCGGAAAATGGAGCAGCCCTCCTGAGCTCCGCTTTTGCTGGCAGAGGCACCATGGGCTGGTCCTTCGCTGATTCCAGGGTGGCTCCACAGGCCAGAACTAAGCATCCTGCGGGCCTGATTGAGCCTGCGGGCCTTGAGTTTGACACCCCTGCAGTAGAAGAGTGTTGTGACTCTGACTCCCAAGCCTGTCCTCATGGAGGAAGAGGACTCAGAAGGTGAGGGGGAGGAACTGACAAGGCCTCCCTCTCCAGGACCTCCTCTCTGGCAATGCCTCAGGTTCCATCCGAAGGCCAAGAGGAACAGCCTGGGATGGGCCAGGAGGAAGGCATTTCGGAGCACCCATTGATAGAGAGTGATAATGAGGAATCCTGGCTTGATCCCAGGCAGCGTCGGAGGGAGAAGTGTGCGCAGCAAAGGAAGAGGCGTGGGAGGGCCAGGGATTGAGCTGAGTCACTGAGCCATGCCCCACAAGGGATAAAAGGGGGCGTGATTGCTCAGCAGGCTTTGTGACGGACAAAAGTTTAAACTCTAAAGAGTCACATCGTGAATCCTGCACTTCGGCTCAGATATATTTAGGACTAAACTCTTGTGGATAATTTGTCGCTCTGGAAACGGACTGCAGATAAGACCTCTCCTATTGGACTTGGCAGGCGTTTTACAGTTAGCTGCCAGAACTCTCGTCTGCCAGAAATTCTGGTCTGTTTATACAATAAATTATTGGCAGGCATGTTTGATACTGCATTTGTCTGTGTGAGGACGGGGGACAGAACAGGGAAGTGACCATTTCTGCTACCCTCTCCTCCCTTTCTTGTTTTCAGAACCGTCCATCGCTGCCGCCCCCTCTTCAACCTCCTCATCTTCCAGCCTTCGCCTCCTTGCACCGTCTGGTCCTCCTAAAGCAACCTTACCCACCGACAGCACAGGTCCAGTCCAAGCCGCAGGTCCTCCGGCTGATTATCATTCCGAGTCAGCGGAGTCCATGGAGGAGATCCCTGTGGCTCAGACCCGTCTGGGGAGCAGTGCCACGAGCGGAGCTTCCAAGAGCAGTTCTCGGCGCCTTCCTTTTCCCGCCGTCTCCATTAAAGGCACAGGGGAGAAGCACCGGCATGCCGGGCACGGCACAAAAAGCAAGAACTCTCAGCCAGCCAGGGCCCAGCCAGCGGAAGAGCTGGAACTGTCTCCTAAGATCCCGTCCGTCTTTGTGAGCAGAAGTAGCGGGGAACCTCCTGTCCCCAATCTCTGGTCTGGCGAGACCCCGTCTGAACCTTCTCACAGAAAATGTTCCAGCAAAAGGCACATCGATGATCAGAAGTACCACGTTTGGGAGTCAAACACTAGTTCCACGGCGGCCTAGATGCCTGGTAACCTGAGAGCTATATCAGCCGAGAGAGAGAGAAACTATAGTGTGTGGCCTGCTCACTCTCCAAATATATTGGTGTTCATGGATTTAATCTCGAGTGATCTGTCTTGCTCTCTGGAGCAGGCTGGTATTTTGCTTATTATTAATAATGCCTTTTGTTCAGGGGGGAGAGGGGGACACGGGGCAGTTCCTTTCCTGTGGTAGTTCATGAAGATAAATGGTTTGGCTCTGGAGGGCAGCCAAAGGGTAGAGTTAGCCATCTCCCTAACAGGGTTTGAAGATTTGGGGACTAAGCTTTGCAGATGCTTAGTTTTCTAGGCTGAGCTCTTTTATAGACCTCAGCAAAGCTAAACCTACTTCCCTGGAGTTCTTTGGGAGTGCCAAATGTAGCTCTCTTCTACCCCCTAAGCAGAGTAGGGAGCCGGAAAGAGCGTACTTCCCTCTGGGAAACATTTCCTCTATGTGCTTATGTCTGAAAAGAAGACACAAAAGGGGTTGTTCCCACATAGCCTTTGCCTTTTTCTCTGCTGCTTATTCTTGCCTTGCAACGCAACCTCAGGTTTGGGGTTTTTTTAAAAAAAGCTGGAGCGGAACCCTTGCATAAATTTGGAGGGATCCGAGCCAGTTTCTTCACTTGGGACAACTTCCCTTGAGCACCTCTTCCTTGGTAATCCAAAACCTTGGGTGCCTGATGGATCTTGGGTAAGAAGATGCACCCTAAGACCTCTCTTGGAGCCAGGCATGCAAAGAAGGCAGTTGTTTGTTTCATGGTTCCTTGGACATTCCGGGGTCCTTATTTTTTTACTTTTAGGGAGGGACCACACTCGGTATCCAAAAAGTTCCAGGTCCTTCCCTAACATTTATTTTAAAAGGATTAAATAGCAATCGATGGGAAAGACCTTTGCCTGAGACTCTGAAGCTACTACTGGTCAGAATATAAGACTAGATGGACAAGTGATCTGGCCTAACTGAAGGTAGCTTCCAACATTCATTTAGCAATATTATGGAGCGCTTTGAACAGCTCTGTTCTCAATAAATATTTTTTCTATGCTCTTTGCTAAATACTTCTCCTTTTTTTTTTCTCCCTGCCCTGTATTTGCTGATACAAGAAGCAGTTTTGTCATCATAAAGAGGCTCGAGATGGCCCCATTTGTGAGACCCTGAGCATTGCAATATTCCATGTGCATAAACTCATGACATAATTATTTTGCGGATTGACGCTCATGCTTGCATCCTTCCTCAGATCAGGACACTTTCTGAGTGGTCAAGTTCTACCTCGGTAACGATTCTGATGGACCCGTGTTCCGCAACCTTGGTAGCTTGATGTGTGGACGTCAACTCCCAAGATTCCCCCGGCCAGTCAATGTTGTCGGGAATTTTGGGAGTTGGAAGTCACGACGTCTTCAAGCTACCAAGGTTGAGAAACACGGTCACAGACTGTCGGTACAAAATTAGACCCCGTTTTAATGACTCCAATAGCAGCGTGCATGTTTTGGATGTAGGCATCAGTTTTCATCCCTGGGATTTTGAGCCAAAGGACCCTAGAATTGGAAAAATTTTCTCACTCTCTCTCTCTCTGCTTTCTGGAGAGTTACCGCGTCTCAGAATAGATTTCATCAAATCGGTACAAGACAGGATCTCACAGAATCGGTATAATAGAAATCACCCTCGCAGCTGAAGCTGATTTAGCAGCTGAAAATGTTTGTAATCCAGGATCTGGATTGACGCAGACCGATTCTAAGCGCGCAGACCCGTTAGCTACCAAAACAGAGGAATGTAATCCTCCTCTTGACAGCCAATCTTGCTGCTTTTGGGAGCCTTGATATCAATCGCTCTGCAGCCTCTACCCCTTCTGCTCAACAGAGGTCATTTAAGGCTTAAAAGCAGCCAAGCTATGAATGAATTGGATGACTTTATATCTGGAACAATGGATAATTAAAATGGATGGGGGTGAGGTTTTTTTATCAAGAACACGAGGTGGCAGATTTTAACCCTTTTATCATTTCTCGGTGCTCTCTTGCGAGCAAGGTAGAAATCCAATCACAGACTCTCCCTGCAACTAGCCGTGCCTTCAGTTACAATGTCCACATGGATAATTTATTGAACCTTGTCTGTGCTGGCTCTTAAAACCCTTTGGCTTCTAGAGGGCATAATCCGAATAGTTGCATGACACACTTTGGGTATGATTGGCATGCATTAATCTTGGTAGCCATGGCGCCCACATACTCTTGGCACCAGAGGCTACAGGGATAGATCTGAGGTGGCACCAGTGGGGTTTGTGATTTTGGAATGTATAGTCTACTTTGGTTGCTGGGCTGATGATGGAATAACTCTGACGTTGTTAGGAGACTTGTTAGAATACATAGAGTCCTATCGGCCGGAGCAGAAAAACCTCAAGTTTTAATCCCTGAAGAAATATAGTAGAAAAGAACTATTATTTCCCAGCTTGCTTCAAGGAGTGTTCAAGCCATTCAGGGAAAAAAAGTGATAAATGCCACTGGGAACTCGAGATGGCCGTGTCTTGGGGTTGTTAGGGTTCTTTTAGTCTTGTGATTGTCCTGTTGTGCAACTTTGGTTTAGTCCTAGAGCCCGTCCTTGCAGTCAGCGGAACCAGCTCAGGATCTCATTTCCGCCCTCCTGCTGTGCTCAGCTGCCAAGCAGAATCCAGCAGCTGCCCCAAATGGTTACAGCATGCCAGTTGAGTATCCTGCAGAAGCGGCTGTCTTTTAAGGTCCTTGATATAAATGTGTCCCTTTCCTTCGCGCTAGCTAGCCTCGCTCCAAGAATCCTTTTTCCGTGCCTCGCTTCTTCCTCCAGTGACTTTATATTTGTTTGTTTTGTTTGTTTGTTTGTTTATGATCATTTATATAGCTGCCTACATCTGTTGATCGAAAGGTCGGCAGTTCAGCGGTTCGAATCCCTAGTGCCGCGTAACGGGGTGAGCTCCCGTGACCTGTCCCAGCTTCTGCCAACCTAGCAGTTCGAAAGCAGGTAAAAAATGCAAGTAGAAAAATAGGGACCACCTTTGGTGGGAAGGGAACAGCGTTCTGTGCGCCTTTGGCGTTGAGTCGTGCCGGCCACATGACCACGGAGACGTCTTAGGACAGCGCTGGCTCTTCGGCTTTGAAACGGAGATGAGCACTGCCCCCTAGAGTCGGGAACGACTAGCACATAGGTGGGAGGGGAACCTTTACCTACCTACATACGCTGCCTACTCGCAGTGACTCTAGGCGGCTTACAGGTAATAAAAACACAATGTGGAAAAAATAGAAATAATAAATAATAATAAAATACAGGTCCTTCACTTATGACGGTTCACTTAGTGACCATTCAAAGTTACGACGGCACTGAAAAAAGTGACTTACGACCATTTTTCACACATGACTGTTGCAGCAACCCCATGGTTCACATGATTTACATTCGGATGCTTGGCCACTGACTCATATTTGTGACAGACGCAGTGTCCCGAGGCCATCTGATCACCACCTAACAATCAAAGCCAACGGGGGAGCCAGATTCACTTCACAGCCGTGTTACTAATTTAACAACTGTAGTGATTCACTTAACAACGGTGGCAAGAAAGGTCGTGAAATGGGACAAAACTCACTCAACAAATTTGTCACTCGGCAACAAATTTTGGGATCAGTTGTGGTCGTAAGTTGAGGACTGCCTGTAATAAACCCCCCCACTCACCTCCTCGGCGACAACACACACTCAACCATTTAATCGGCTCCATCCAATCGTGAAATTCAGCCAGTTCTATCCGGATCACGCGATCCGGTATCGCCGGCGGCAGGAGGCTCCGCCCACCCACCTGGATATCGTCATGCCCCCTTTTTTTACCCTCTGCGCATGCGCAGAAGGTTCTGGGCATGCCTGGAGGAGGTGCGCGTGCTCACATTTGTGAGCCAGTAGGGAAAAGTAAGTGAATTTCACCCCTGGCTCCATCCCACTCTGGATTCCCCAGGCCCGCTGGCAAAACCACATTTTGAGGGCCTTACCAAAGAGTGTCAGAGTGTGGGCCTGTCTAATTTCTGGAGAGATGATGTTCCAGAGGGAGGGAGCCACCATGGAGAAGGCCGTTCTTCTGGGTCCTGCCAGATGTACCTCAGGGAAACGGGACCCGCAACATTCCTTGTGTTGTGACCTAGGCTTACTGAGTCATTACAATACACAATTAGTCCCAAACAAACCTCTTTTATTGTAACAGCTGAGAATTACGTTCATTCCCAGCTGAGTCCCAATTAGTTGCAAAATAAGTCCTTCGGAAGAAGTCCTTCGGGATAATCATCAACCTTTATCACCCTGCCAAAGGCCTTACTTGGCAAAGCCCCACGAAGTTCAGAAACAAACAAGAGATGCCGACTGGAAACAGAGTTAGCAACGTTGCTTTCCTGCAAAAGGCCCAAGTGCCTTTGTTTCTCTTTTAAGCCTTATGAGAGGGGCCAATCATCTCCTGGCCTTACTCCTGAGTCGTCCCTTTTGCTTTAACTGCTCTTGCCTTCTGGCAGCTCTGCGCATGCGTGCACTAGGAACAGGCTCCTCCTGTTCCTCTGCCTCTCTGATGTCCGACTCTGGGGCTCCGGAGTCCGTGCATCACTCCCTGGCCCCATCTCTACCTCCGATGCAGAGCCCTCATCCGGGCCTTCCCCAGACTCCAGGACTGGCCCATGTTCTTCCCCAGCCTCCTCACTGTCCGACTCCGCTGCCAGCTCCTCAGGCTGCTGGCGGACCACAACACCTTGCCTCCTCGCTGTTGTAGTCTTTGCTTTGAAACATCTTGTCCGACCTTGGTAGCTCAGCATGGTTGCGACAGCTAATTCCACCTCTCTCAGCCAGGATGGGGAATGTTTAAAAATCCTTTAAAAAGAAAATAATAATAATCAGTGACCATCCGTTTCTGAAACGGTTAAGAATATTGCAGTTAAGGATCTGGTTTGACTTGAGGGCATCTTCACTTTGATCTCAGCCACGGTTGGCACTTGTGATAAGTGGGGACTTTCTCCCTCTGCCTCTCCCCCCCCCCTTACGGATTTTAGGACTGCGAGTTTCCATCAGCTGACGGGACCAAACAATGAATAGAAAGTATACACAGCTTTTAAGTCACAAGTGTGGTGTAATCGTCAGCTTTGGGAACTCCCCGTGCCATTTGCTTTCACGCAGAACAAGGAAGCTGTGTTTTGTTTTCTTTAGTGAGTTTGTATTTCAGTATCAGGCAGCACGGTGGCAAATGTAGGGCCGCCCTCTGAGCTTCCTTTGTCCCCCTTCCAAATATTAGGACGTTTCTGACCAGCATTTCCAACAAGGCTTAGGCATGATGCGTTTGGAGAACCCCACGCACACATCTGGATGATTCCCTCTGGAGGATTTCTCGTATCTGGTATTTTCCGTTCTCGACTAGCTGGTTGCAATTACACATTTTCTGTCTTGACTTCTAAACGAAGAAGTTGTGTTGATACCCGTCAGTCAGTGCACAAAACTATTCAGGGGAAGGGAGGCAGCTTTGAGTCACCAGGCTCTTGCGCTATTGTCCGGAATATCCCAAGCTGTATGGTTCATATAGCTTTAACCAGGGGTGGGCTTCAAAATTTTTAGCAAGGGGTTCTCTGCCTGGTTGCTGGGTGGGCATGGCCATGGTGGGCATAGCCTAGTCAGCCTCCTGAATCACGGCAGCGGGGGGGGGACATTTTTGCCCTCCCTGGGCTCTAGAGGTTTTCCTCGAGTCTCTGGGAGGGCAAAAACGGCCTCCCCAGGCACCAGAGGCCCTCTGGAGGCCGAAAACAGGTCCATTTCTGGCCTTCCCGAACTTCCAGTAGGCCCTTTTTTCGCCCTCTCCGAGGCTCCTTGTGTGTCCTGCACTTACCTACATCCAAAACGGGCCACGTGGGACTCCTGGGAGGGGAGGGGAGGGGAGGGGTGGGCGGGGCCAGCCGGGAGTTGGATTTGGGGGTTCTCTGAACTGCATAGAATCTTAGCTAGAGGTTCTCCCGAACCCCTGTGAACCCTCAGCAACCCACCCCTGGCTTTAACCGAGCATAACCAATTTTCAGCAAATCCGGACTTTTTTGTTTTTATTAAATTTGATTTATATGCCGCCCTTCTCCGGAGACTCAGGGCGGCTTACAATGCGTTAAGCAATAGCCTTCATCCTTTTGTATATTTTATACAAAGTCAACATTGCCCCCACAAACTGGGTCCTCAATTTACCTACCTTAGAAAGGATGGAAGGCTGAGTCAACCTTGAGCCTGGTGAGATTCGAACTTACAGTAATTGCAGACAGCTGGTGTTAATCACAATGCTATCAGTCTGCTGGGCCACCAGGCCCTTTGATGGATAGCACAGTAGAAAATAGCAGAGACAAGAGCTGAGCTTTCTATTATTTTATTTATTTTATTTTGTCGAGTACATATTAGATAATATACATTGCTCAAAAAAATAAAGGGAACACAAGCAGAAGACATCCGAGATCTGAATGAATGAAATAGCCTTATTAAATACTTTGTTCGTGACATACAGTAGTTTTGTGTTCCCTTTAGTTGTTTGAGCAGTGTATAAACTACTGTATGTAAAGAACAAAGTATTTAATAAGGCTATTTCATTCATTCAGATCTCGGATGTCTTCTGCTTGTGTTCCCTTTATTTTTTTGAGCAGTATATATAAGTTTAAGCATGAATTGAATACATAAAATGAACACAATTTAAAGGGAACATTAGGACAGGGACGGGAGGCACACTGGTGCTCTTATGCACGCCCCTTACAGACCTCTTAGGAATGGGGTGAGGTCAACAGGAGACAGTCTTAGGTTAAAGTTTTGGGGGTTTTATTGTGACACAACACTTGCACAAGGGACTCGAGTCACGCATTGACCACTGTGAGAACAAACTGCTGGACCGAATGGGCGAGGAATCTGATCCACCCGGGCACGGCTTATGTTCTTACAGAAGATGGAAGCTTCTACGGTTAGCTGGTCCCTGCAGGCTGCCTGTCCATAAGCAATTAATGCCCTATAATAAATCATTTCCTTGTTTAGAATGCTTTTTTCTGTGATGTGGAATTCTCACAAGGGCACTTTCCAGATTGCTAATTGGTTTGGGTTGGGCTACTTCATGGACTACAAAGAGCTGGCAGTAGTACAAGCGATTCCTTTCAGATGGTTGACAGCCATTGTACTCACCAAAGCTTTACTACCTTGTTTTAAGCAAATGGACCTCTCCTGAAACAGAAAGGATAGATAGAGTTTTAGACATGTTGCAGCACGTCCAGATAATGGGAGAATGCAACATTCAGCAACCATGATAACCTGGTAATATCTTTATTCAGTTGCTGTGATTACTGGATTACATATATATATATATATTGCACAAGTCTCCTCAGGTCATATACATTGCACAAGTCTCCTAAGCCATTGTGTTTGGTAGCAACAGCAGATGATCTAGAGGAGGTTGCAAAAGAAGAGACCAGAATTTGTGGCCCTGTACAGCTTCTATAATACCTAATCGGTTCCAAGACCAGCTGGGAGCAAGAGAAGTTTGGACTCCCAAGTTGTCAGCAATCCTTAATTAACACAGGCTCATTGCTTCTGGTGCTCAGTCCTAGTTGGATGAGGCCCATCTCTTACTCAGATCCCCAGTGGTGGGTTTCAAATTTTTTTACTACCGGTTCTGTGCGTGTGGCTTGGTGGGCATGGCATGGCTTGGTGGGTGTGGCTTGGTGGGCGTGGCAGGGGAAGGATACTGTAAAATCTCCATTCCCTCCCCACTCCAGGGGAAGGATACTCCAAAATCCCCATTTCCATCCCACTCCAGGGGAAGAATACTCCAAAATCCCCATTTCCATTACACTCCAGGGGAAGAATACTTCAAAATCCCCATTTCCATCCCACTCCAGGGGAAAGATACTGCAAAATCTCCATTTCCACCCCAATCCAGAGGAAGGATACTGCAAAATCCCCATTTCCTCCCGATCAGCTGGGACTTGGAAGGCAGAGAAGAGATGGGGGCAGGGCCAGTCAGAATTTTTACTACCGGTTCTCTGAACTACTCAAAATTTCTGCTACCGGTTCTCCAGAACTGGTCAGAACCTGCTGAAACCCACCTCTGCAGATCCCGCTCTGAGCAACCTGCAGAAGGAGACAATTGGGTCCCAGAATGACTAGCACTGAAAATCGGGGTGGGAGGGGGTGGGAGGAGGGTCCTTCAGCGTTTTCCTACTGTATTGTGCAGCTGAAGGACAAAATCCATTTGCTCGGAGCTTATTCTACCAATTGAGCCACGATGAATGGGATTCTACTAAGCCCAACACATTGATGAGAAATTCAATTAAGAGAATGACTTTTAGGGCGGGTTAAACTGGCCACGTCTTCTCAAAGGCCGGCTTGTCAGCCAAGAACAAAAGTGGAAGATGTGCCAAGCTATTTGAAAATGGACTTGGCTCAACTTGTCAGCCAGATGTGCGGAGGAAGGAAAGATGGGAAATGGAGTTTTCTTGTGATGGAGGAGGGCGAATTCATTTCAGGGGGTAAATCTGGACGTTGAGTGGATGATTTATCCCGAATGGCACCGATCAATATTCTTTGGAGTTTTCCCATATTCCCTAAGAGTTTCCTTCGACTTAAATACCAGGGATTCCTTAGAGCAGATATGGCAGAATACTCAAAAGTTTGGATATTTACTTGAGTTGCTTTGGCCATTAACATCTTCTGATCTGGAACGCCAAGGGACCCCCCCAGTTCTGCATTGCCAAAACAGGAGGAAATAACATTGCTTGAAAAAGAAGGGAAATATTTGCACAAAAGTGTGTTATCCTGAGAAATAATGATAGAATCATGTTCAGACATCATTTCTGCAATTTAAATAGAAAATACAATATACTTTATGCCATTAAAGTAGGGGAAGCTAACCAGGTGACTTTTCCTAGCTGTCCTATTTGCTGTCCAAATGCTGATCTGTTGGTGAGCATCATCTTTATCCCTAAATCGGACCAAACCCTACTCTGCGCCTTCAATCGACAAAGAGTCCTGTACTCAGATACAAACACAGCAGGGGTGAAATCCAGCAGGTTCTGACAGGTACTGGAGAATCGGTAGCGGAAATTTTGAGTAGTTTGGAGAACCGGCAAATACCACTTCTGGCTGGCCCCAGAGTGGGGTGGGAATGGAGATTTTGCAGTATCCTTCCCCTGGAGTGGGGAGGGAATGGGGATTTTGCAGTATCCTTCCCCTGGAGTGGGGTGGGAATGGAGATTTTGCAGTATCCTTCTCCTGGAGTGGGGTGGGAATGGAGATTTTGCAGTCTCCTTCTCCTGGAGTGGGGTGGGAATGGAGATTTGGCAGTCTCCTTCCCCTGGAGTGGGGTGGGAATGGAGATTGTGCAATATTCTTCCCTGGAGTGGGGTGGGAATGGAGATTTTGCAGGATCCTTCCCCTGGAGTGTGGTGGAAATGGAGATTTTGCAGTATCCTTCCTCTGGAGTGGGGAAGGAATGGGGATTTTGCGGTATCCTTCCCCTGGAGTTGGGAGGGAATGGGGATTTTGCAGCATCCTTCCCTTGGAGTGGGGTGGGAATGGAGATTTTACAGTATCCTTCCCCTGCCACGCCCACCAAGCCACACCCACCAAGCCATGCCATGCCCACCAAGCCACACCCACAGATTTTGCAGTATTCTTCCCCTGGAGTGGGGCGGGAATGGAGATTTTGCAGGGTCCTTCCCCTGGAGTGGGGTGGGCATGGGGATTTTGGAGGATCCTTCCCCTGGAGTGGGGAGGGAGTGGGGATTTTGCAGCATCCTTCCCCTGCCACGCCCACCAAGCCACGCCCACAGAACCGGTAGTAAAAAAAAAAATATTGAATTTCACCCCTGAAACAGGGCCATCCCAACGGCTGAAGGCAGACAGAGGCAGGTCCCCAAGGGGAGCCTTTGGCTCAGGGAATGGCGGTTCCTGGAGAGAGGGGCTAGGTGGGGCTTCTGGGACCCAGGGATGCTTTGAACGGGATGGGGGATTGGCTCGGGGTGCCTCCCCAGTTGCTAACTGCACAGGGCTGGCTGCTGTGGAAACCCCTTTTTGCTTTCACTACAGCTGAAAACATTTCTCCCTCGCTTGGGTTGTGCGGCCTGTTTATTCCGTTCTTGGCATGGTCTCCCACCGGCCTGAAACAATACAGCAGCGAAAGGCAGCGACGGCTCTACCATCCCATCGTCCGTTGACCTCTCCCACCCCCCCCCCCTCCACCACCCACCCCTCCCAGCCCCTCCAAGTTGCTTGGTTGCTTCTCTTCCCCTCTAAACACACAAACACACAAACACACAAACACGCACAGAGGCCATTCTCCAGCGCCCCGGCCCACGAGGCGGCACCAACAGCAGCAATGCTTTTGATGTGGTACGTTCCCCCCCTCTCCCCCCCCCCCCCCACCCTGGAGATTGTTTGGTTCCATCTAAACAAGACTTTTTTTTTTTCATTTCTTTTTTTTTAATTTTGCCCTTCCGTCCTTTTTGTCTTGGGCCCCGCCATGCTCAAGATTCCTAATGGCCTAGATCACGGATGACCTGCGGTGGCCCCCGCAGCTCTTTTTAGGCCTGTAGCTGGAAGGAAGGGCAGGGCCTCTAGGGAGTGTGTGTGTGTGGGGGTGGGTGGGGGGGTTTAGAAGATGAGAAGAAAAGGAAGTGGAGTGTTGATGGAAAGCCAGGTTGAGCATTATAGTGAGAAGTGGCTGTTAATTCTCAACACTTGGGCTGAACCTTGTGAAGAGGGGAGCAGAATGATGAGTTACAAGTCCTTCTCTCCCCCTCTCTCTCCCTCTCTCTCTCTCCCTCTCTCTCTCTCTCTCTCTCTCCCTCCCTCCCTCTCTCTCTTCCTCTCTCTCTCTTTCTCCCTCTCTCTCCCTCCCTCTCTCTCTCTCTGCCTCTCTGCCCTCCCTCTCTCTGTCTCTCTCTCTCTCCCCCCCCCCACCCCCGGGAGCAAAATGACGAGCTCTTGTCTTGTCCCATGCAACAGGAAGAGAAAGTGCCAGCCGGCAAGCCAAAGCTCTGAAATTTCTGCTTAACCTCTCTCCATTCAAATCAAACGTAGCTGGTTGACCAGAAGGGAGAAATACCCAAAGTGTATTTCCTTCTGATGCTGTAAACGGCACATAACCTCTTTCCCAAGATAACTTTTAGGCACAACGCGTAGGGATGTCACTCTGCATGGAGGTTTTTTGTAGTCTTTTAAAAGACTAAATGATGACGTTCCATCAGCCCTAATGGAAAAAAGGCACAAAATACATCTATGAAACCTCTGCGGATCGCATTGCAACCGATGGGCGGTGTGCCATTCAAGTCATTTCTTGACTTCTGACGGCCATATGTCGGTCCACATTTTGGACAGAGATGATGGCTGGTTTGAAAGAGGGGTCAAAGAGGCCATATGCATTAAGATTGAACATCCCTCTTTCAACAGAGGGAGGAAGGATATGACACTACCCATCTCCTGCTTACAACACAGTCCTTTCAGCATTTCCAAGAAGGTCCCACGTCTATTTGCACCGTTCAGGACCCCAAGGGCACAGATAAACCTCCAAGTGGCCTCAACGACTCCCAAAGAGAGCACTAACAACCAGATGACTGCAAGGAATATAACTCCTTCCATCTTCCGTCAGAACCGAAGAAGCTCCTTGGATGAGAAGCGAAACGTCTTCAGGGAAAAAAACCAGTCCAGCGACCTCTTGAAAAACCACCTTTGGGACAAGGTGGTTATATGTTATGTTTTACCATGGCTGTTCACCGCCCTGAGTCCTGTTGGAGAAGGGCGGTATACAAATTAACTAAAAATAAAAAAATAAAAATAAATAAACCATGACCTGGATGAGTTGAGAATTTCCACAGACCTTTAGCAAACCACATAGTTCATCAATCGAGGCAAAACTCACTTAACAGCTGTCTTGCTTACCAATGGAAATGTGGGTGTGGGGAGGGGCGCGGCTCAGTTGTGGTCATAGGTGGAGGACTACCCTAACAAGTGGTTTTTCCAGGCTGGAAGAGACTCACCCTTACGCTAACCTCCTTCAAGAGCCTTGGTAGTACAGGGGTTTAAGGCACCCTGTTATTAAGCTTATTAAGACCAGCTGCCTGCAATTACTGCAGGGTTCGAATCTCGCCAAGGCTCAAGGTTGACTCAGCCTTCCATCCTTTCTAAGGTAGGTGAAATGAGGACCCAGTTTGTGGGGGCAATAAGCT